TGCTGGTAGTACTCCACATATCTGGGTACAGATAATAAAAGGAGTAGGGATGAGAGGGAAAAATGTCTACTCAAGGAATCAAGGAATTTCTTGGAGTTACATTTTTAGAATAGTAAACAGTGTCAAGGGATACTCTAGTTACACATTCATGAAGCAAGACATGACATAAAACAAAAGACAATAATTAATGAAGAAATCGTAAATATAAATGAGATTAAAAAAATAAAACAGTATGAAATAAAATAGCCATGGAGAAAGTAGAACACACATAGACACTGAAGCATAGTGTAGTAAATGGACTTCTGTTTAGGGATTAATTTTTATTTATGTATTTGGGTTTTTTTTGTGATCTATGGTCCTAAAAAACCCTTCTGATTTTGGAAAATTACCAGATTTTGTGTTTTGGGTTGTATTGTGCATTTAAAGAAGCCAAAGAGGAAGGATTCCATTTTATGGATGCTAGGGAGACTAGGCTTAGGTAATCAGATTTTTCTCAGCCAGAAATCTGAATTATGAAGAAAGTTGGCAGATAATGTAGGCAGGGGGGAGAAATGAACCAAGCCTTATATGCACGTATGAATAATAAAAGAAAAATGAAAAAAAAAATAAAGAGGTTTTCAGCCTGCAAAAAAAAAAAAAAAAAAAAAAAAGACATCAGTGCATGTCTGAAAACAGCAGTGACCTAATCTGTATTGTTGTGTGAGGCTGTGTTCCCAATTTCCCAGTCCCTTTGGGTTTCTAGCAATTGCCACTACAAATGTACTAGCCTTTAACTTCATGCTACATTCTACTCTATAGCCTTTCATGTAGCCTATCAGTGTGTTAGTTGCCAGGTTCAGTTTCTCTTGCTTACATAAAAGAACTCTGATTAATGCAAGTGGAGAGGTTAGGGACAAGAACTGAATTCTCTTCTTAGGTGAGAGAAGATGTGTTCCCAATTTCCCAGTCCCTTTGGGTTTCTAGCAATTGCCACTACAAATGTACTAGCCTTTAACTTCATGCTACATTCTACTCTATAGCCTTTCATGTAGCCTATCAGTGTGTTAGTTGCCAGGTTCAGTTTCTCTTGCTTACATAAAAGAACTCTGATTAATGCAAGTGGAGAGGTTAGGGACAAGAACTGAATTCTCTTCTTAGGTGAGAGAAGAAATGGGCAGTTACAATCTGGCAATCTATGTCTAGGACTGGAAAAAACAGTGGGGGATATGTAATACTGTGGAGAATGATTGTAAGGCTCATTGAAATAGAGACAAGAAAAAGATGGCTAAAAGATAAGCATTAGCTAAGTCTGGGACATAAAGAGGATGATCTTCATTATGAATGCCAAAAGGAAAATAAATGGTTGCTGGCTTTCTAGTAGCAAGATAAGATAAACCTCAAGAATTCTGTGGAGTGGGAACTGGCTATTATAGTAATAAATGGCACTTATGAGAAGCCAAAAGCTACTAGTAGTTTACTGTACTTGCACAGTTTGTGAGAACAATTTGATGAGAGAAACTTGTGGATTTTTTCCTTCTGTCTTCCCTCTTTAGGACATTTTTTTTTCCCTTGGACTCTTAGTGACTGATCTCCTTGATGCAACACATTTAGAATGTGCACTTGCTACAGAAAATCAATTTACATGCAACTTTATTTCCTTCTAGGAGCTCATCTATAAGATGAATGGCATATTCGTTCTGTGCTCTGTTTTTAATTTTTAAAAACCCCACAAATATGTGCTGACAAAGAGAGAAAAAAAACATGACAAAGTAAAAAGAAATTTCTTTCATCCTCCTTCCATTAGATCACTATAGGTCACACTGCATACAATCTCTCTGATCTTCTACATGATTGTACATGTACACATATATTTAAATTTAATTTTGGTGGATTTCTCCTGTATGAATTTGCTTGTCACTCATTTATCTTGAAGCCCTTTCTAATTAGTGCTTACAAATATATTCCAAATTTCATACTATGCACTCAGGAAACTTTAATTTAAAAAAATACAAGAAAGAGATAATTGGACTTGGCATTAACTATGGCCATCCTATATTTGAAAAAAGCAAAGATTTAGCTTGTAGCCCTCCTATATTTGAAAAAGCAAAGATTTACTTTGTAAGATTATCTATGTGACAATATACAACAAAAAACTATTTGCTACCTTCCAGGGATACAGAGGATAAATAAATATGTAAGCTACACATAAACACTTTGAAAAAAGTGATATGGAATGAAAAAAGAATATTAACAACATTGCCTATATCAATGGCATCTCAACATTCCTGGTCACTAGCAGAGGATGGGCAAAGTAGTCAGAGTTATAGGGTAGGACATTAGTCACAATCCTAATTCAGTTTACAACACTATTGTGCAATGGATCTGACAGGCAAAAAGGGTGATGCAATGAGAATTTGTTTACCATAATTTATTTACTTGCAGCAATAAAGTATTCAGTTTCTAAGCAAGTAGGCATGCATCAACATTTAATATTTATAAAATTAAATCCACTACTTCTCATTCAACATCACAAAATGTATTAATAATCACCATAAACATATTAGAAAGAATGACTATCTCAATTGATCCAAAATGAATTTGATCAATTAAAAAGTCACTCATGTTATACAATAAAACACTTAGGATTTGGAAAGAGAACACTTAATAATATTGATAAAGTAGCCAACAAAACCCACAGCAAATATTGTACTTCATGATAAAATTTTAATGATATTGCATTAAAGTCAGGAATGTTATTACTATATCTGTTAAAATGTTACACTGGATGTTGTATTAACATGTAATTAAAAAGGAATAAGTGATTTAAAAGTAAGAAAAAAGGGAAAGATTCTCATTTGCAAATGACACAATTGTCTATATAGACACTGTAGAAGTAATGCATAGAAACTAAAAAGTCAACATAACTTTAGGACATGACACTTGTGAGATTTTTATTTAACATTAATACTCAGAATTATTTTGTGTGCTAGGGATTGAACCCAGGGCCTCATGCACGATAGTCAATCACTCTATCACTGAGCTACATCACCAAAATGTAATTTAAATAAAGATATCTTCAATCTTGTAATAAAACTTAGGAGCCTAATGAAAAATGCTCAAAAATTTAAGAAAAGGAACTACAAAGGACTACAGAATAAAAGATCTGTACATCCTACCATGTTCATGGATAAGAAGACATTTTTCCAAACTAATGTATAATTTTAATTCACACATTAAATCAAAATCCAAATAGAAAAAATTCTATTTTAGGCTGGCTCATCCTAAAATTTATAAGAAAGAATAAAGAAAGAAATAAAATTTATAAGAAAGAATAAAGACCTAAATATAGCTAAAGCAGTTTTTAAACAACAATCACATGGAAAATAGCTTGCAAAAATATTTGAATATATATAGTTGAGTTCATGAGTGCTTATGATGCTATTGTTCATCTTTTTAACTTTCTAAATCTTTCATAATTAAACTTTTAAAGTTTTAAAAGTAAAAAAGAATAGTTTATGGTGTCAGGTTGGGAAAATTTTGTAGGCAATAAAATAAAGAGCATGCAATTATAATGTAAAATATTTTTAAGTTCAACAAGTAGTATCCTAAACTATAAAGCTTTGATCAGAAGATAACATAAAAAGTGAAAGTACAATCCACAAATTAAGAGAAAGTATTTGCAACACATATAATTAAAAAGTATTTAAATCATAAAAATGAAGAACACATATAAATGAATTTTCAAAAAGAAAAATCCAACATAAAATGAGCCAAAATTGAGAAAAGGCATGTCTCAGAAACCATATATATCATCTCCATTAGCAAGGAGGGTAATGAAAATTTTAAAAATGCAATTAGATATTTTCAGGCAAAAATTTAAAAGACTGACAATAGAAGAAGTGACAGGTAATGATGTACCAAACTAGTTAATTTCAAATGGATTTGTAAGAAATTTTCACACTTAAATGTGTGGCAAAAAAAGACGTAAACCTGAAAATAGAAAACTATTTATAGGAAATCATATACATGTAACTATTTTCAAAAAAGCAGGGGAATGAGAAATACAAAATTCAGCATGATGACAATGTGAAGCAAGCATTTGCTTTTGGAGAAGTCAAATGAGAAGAAATCAAATTTTTAAGATTCTTTTTCTGTGCCTTTACCTCTATAGTACCTAGGTATATTTTTCATTATTTGTTAAAATGCCCAAATATGGTATAGTCTCTTATACATACAATTATAATTGGTTTTTAAAAAGATCCAGTGAGGTTTGAAGGATGGCCTTTACAATACTGTTTGCATCAGTAAATTCTGTCCTGTGAGTCAAGATTTCCTTGTTACTATGTAACCAAAACAAAATACAGAATTCTCTTGCTTTCTGAGGCTGATGTAAGATGGAAACTCTTAGCTGTAGCTTCTATTAAAAAAAAAAAAAAAAACTTGTTATTTTCACCTATCCTATTCTCTACTTCTATATAATGATTTCGCTACAAATATAACTTATGATACATTTGTAAATTTAAAATGCCATCTATGTCTACTTTAGAGTTGCAAGTGAAGATCCAATTTAAACAAAAAGGCAAAACGAACTTTCAATTTAAAAACTCTGGAAACAACCAATGTACTCGAATTTAAAGCAATCTACTAATGTTAAAAAACAAAACCCAAAAAAGTTTTAAAAAAATTTTTAAAAAAGGAAGCATCTGTCCTCTATTAGACCTTCCTGGAGGAGCCTCAGAAGACAATTCCTGAGACAGAAGTGAGTCATCTCTGTGTAGAAAGAGGCTGCAGTGCAGACTGACTTAACTCTGCTCCTTTTCTCCACATTTAAAGGATTTCCTTTAAATGCTCTGCATCTTCCAGCCATCCCACCTTCCTGTCCCCTCCTTCCCGCCAGCACTGCGCCGGAAGAACTCGAGCCCCGCCCCTCTGCAAGCCCCGCCCCTCGGCGAGCCGACCCCGCCCCTCGGCGAGCCGACCCCGCCCCTCAGGGCTTCCGGAACGCTCTGCGCGAGCTTTTGGAAAAGCGGCGCTGGTCGGGCTCGCCGCGCGAATGCTGTCGGTTTTCTGCACACTTGGGATCGGAACAGCATTGCCGGCCCAGTTCCTGCTGGTGGCCGATTCCTAGACCCTGGTGAGTAGCTGCTGGATTTAGGAACCGCGGTGTGGCGGGCATGCAGACCACTGCCGGCGCCTGCGCGCTCGCTCGCCAGCCAATGTGCTGGCCGCTTTGCTGCCGGCGCCCTTTGACCCCGCGCCCCTCGGGCGGACGGCAGGAGCCCCTTTAGCCGGGAGCTTGGGGTCTCTAGGGCCCTCGCCGACCACCCTCTCAATCCCATCCGGGATGTTTGTCTAGGTCAGTTAGATTCCGTGCCCTTTGTCCTGTTTGATCTTTAATCTTTGCCTAGACCCCATCCAGTTGTGCCTTACCAGCCTGCTTCCCCCCCTCCCCCCCCTTTCCGAAGACACAACTCCAAGTGCAGCCACTTACACCACCTTGTTTCGTTTTGATGTGTGACAAGATCCTACTGATAAACATAGGGGGAAGTGGCAAGTGCTGAAAACATTGTGAAAGGTCGTCTATGTAAAGATCATCTATGTGAGCCTTTGTGGAACTAGGGCGATGAGCTGTTCACGTTAATGAATGCAGGAAGTAGCTTGAAAGAAATACAAAATTAAATCTAGACATTGGTGATTTTAACTCATGTTGTTTGTAAATCACTTTGATGGCCATACCTGACTCCACTCTTATCCAGCTGTTTGTAAACCCTGAAAAAAACGGTAGAGTACTGTGAAATTTGTGGATTTTTTTTCAGTCTATATGTATAACATATTTCCAAAGCTGCTGCTCTTTTTCCCGTGATGAGTAGCGAGGGTATGAGCAGAAAATAAAACAAGCAGTCTTCAGATTAAGTGTGGACTCCAGTACATGGAGGAAGTAACAGTTAATCATTGTTTTCTAAGTCCATAATCTTTACATGGAAACATGAGCATTGATCAGCAGCTTCCATTTATGTCACAAAAGTTATATATTCTCTAAATTTGATTTCTCTAATACGTTGTAGGAAGGCAGAATAGGATGGGGGCAAGAGTTTACATTCTACAGCCAAACTTACTATGCTTTTGCCAGTTGCTAAACCTCTGTGCACTTAGTCATTTTCTAGTCCAGAGACTGAAAAAGTTTCCAACTGCTCAGTTTCTTCACCTGTAAAATGGTCATAAAAAGAAGTTCTACTACATAGATTGTTGTGAAGATTAAAGTAGAAGGGGGAGATTATGCCTAATTGAATGTTAACTAATGTCTACACGTGTTTACATTAAAGCTGACTTGGGCAAGGAAATCTTTGTACAGAAACTGATTCTGAAAGTTCCAGATATGTCTTCTCGAATTAGTTATATTTATCACTAGTGACTTCATACAGAATAAAATTAGAAATAAAACACTATCAAAAAAAGAGAAAGCATGAGGGATCTGTATAATTTATCTGATAATTTGAAAAATGGGAAATTTTGGCTTTTCTGAGTTACATTATAGTAGCAAATACTTTCAGAATAATTGATATCGCACTGCTTCAGAATCTCATGGATCTCTTAGTTAGCTGGATATGTGAAATGATTTTTTATTAGGCCTTGTTAGATCTCCAAGTGCATTTAAAAAGTGAAAAAACAACCAAACACACAAACCCACACCAAAACAGAAATACTACTTTATAAAGTACCTATGTGTGTATAATTCCTGAAATTGCCTTACCTTCAATGAGAACACATATTCATTAGCCGATATCTTTCATAGATTTCTGTTTCGAGAACCTGTACATCTGCAATTAACTTGTAGGTGTTTTTTTCCTCTTATATGACTTCTGAAACTTGTTTTTTTGTTGAAAGTAGTTCTACCTACTCCTTTCTTGCAAGAACATCAGGTTTTTTATTCTCAAGGGTCATTGTGGTTTTTGCAATTTTGAAGATAATTTTCTTTACATTAGTTTTTTAATTATTGAATGTTTATGACTCTTCCTATATCATATGTTCAGTATAGACTGCAAACATACCAACTGTGCATAAAGTCAGTAGAATCTGTGACATACTGCCCAAATACATACCAATGTCAAAAGCAAGAGGTTAGAAAACTAAGTATTAATTAGCTGGATATGTGAAATGATTTTTTATTAGGCCTTGTTAGATCTCCAAGTGCATTTAAAAAGTGAAAACAACAAAAACAACACCACAAAACAGAAAACATACTTTATAAAGTACCTATTGTGTATAATTCTGAATTGCCTTTCAATGAGAACACATATTCATTAGCCGATATCTTTCATAGATTTCTGTTTCGAGAACCTGTACATCTGCAATTAACTTGTAGGTGTTTTTTTCCTCTTATATGACTTCTGAAACTTGTTTTTTTGTTGAAAGTAGTTCTACCTACTCCTTTCTTGCAAGAACATCAGGTGTTTTAGTATTCTCAAGGGTCATTGTGGTTTTTGCAATTTTGAAGATAATTTTTCTTTACATTAGTTTTTTAATTATTGAATGTTTATGACTCTTCCTATATCATATGTTCAGTATAGACTGCAAACATACCAACTGTGCATAAAGTCAGTAGAATCTGTGACATACTGCCCAAATACATACCAATGTCAAAAGCAAGAGGTTTAGAAACTAAGTATTAAGCTGAATAATTAGTAATACAGACTCCATTTCTAGGGGATATTAAACATCTAAAAAATAGTATGATGCAATATATAATATAAGAAATGCCAGTTTGAAAAGTGGATGATACAGCACATTCTGCTCTGGAATCATTAACAGAGGCATCAGAAAGAGGAGGCAGCATTTCAACTTTGACCCAAAATATGAATGATACTTTAAACATTAGCTATGCAGAAAATAGGCCATTTAGACAGAATAAGCCAAATGCTGGCTTTTGATTGCCTGTCCAACACTCATCTTTTATTATGGTTATTATAAATAATTATTCAGTGTTACATGATTCTGAATTATATAATATTAACTGTCCTCACAAGAATTCTATGAGTGATATAACTCACTGTACCTTAGAGGAAAGATTCAGAGAGAGAGATCAAGTCAAATAAAAAATGGCACACCTGCAATTCGAACCCAGGAGTTGTAACTGCAGAGCTCAAACTTTTAGTCACCATGCCTGGTGCCTTCATTTACACTGAGATGACTTACTAATTGAAATGTAGAGGAAGAGATAGAGCCAGTGAATCATGTCTTCAAATTGAACTTATAGATAATCTATATGTTGATAATCATGCAAGTAAATGAATTAAGTAGTACAAAAATAAAAGGCAAAAGGACCAGCTTAAGAAATTCCACTTAAGTCAAGAGGAAGAAAGAAACAATACACTGTTTCTTTAAAGGCACATTTTGTGTTTTGTGTTATGGGTAGATCTGGAAAAAGGAGCATGAAAAACGTAAAAACTTCAGTGTTGTTTATTGTATTTCCTCATTTTAATTCATAAGTGATATTTACTATTTTTTGATGTTATTCCTTTTTTGTATTATTTTTATTTTATTTTTCCTTTCTTAAATTATTGTTGTTCTGGGAGTACCTTGTGACATTTACAAAACTTCTTACAATATATTATAGTTGAGTTCACCCCTGCATCATTCTCTTTTATTCCCTCTCCACCATTCCTGGAATAGTTTCAACAGGTCTCAGTTTTCCATTTACACACATGTGCACACAGTATTTGTACCATATTCACCCTCCTACACCCATTCCCCACCCCCAATGGTACCAACCCCCACAGACCAAAATTGGGGCAGGGGGTACTGATCCCTGCCCCTATTTTGAAAAGGGAAAAAAATGACAATTTTGTTTGTTTAAGATAGCTGTACAGGGAATTTCCTTGTGACATTTCCATATAAATATGTCTTACAACTCGAATTGTTTCATGTCTATTTTTCTCCTTTCTGTCTTAGTCCCCTTCCTATGGTGATTTCTACAGGTTTAAAAATTCTATATTCCTCTTGTATAGGAAGTACATCAACTATATTCACCTTCTTAACTTACTTCCTTTATGCACCCCCTCTCATATGTGACCTCCCCTTAGCGTGACCTGTTTTTTCATAATATTGTTTATATTCGTGTTAGATATATATTCCACATATGAGAGAAAATATGCAGCATTTGGCTTTCTGAACCTGGCTAACTTCGATTAATATGATGTCCTCCAGTTCCATCCATTTACCTGCAAGCAACAAAATTTCATTTTTCTTTGTGGCTGAATATAATTCCATTGTATATAAATACCATTTTCTTAATCCATTTATCAGTAATGGGGCATACCATAGCTTAGCTATTATGAATAATGCTGCAATAAACATGGGTGTGCAGGTTCCTTTATTGTAATCTTACATTCCTTTGGGTATACCCTTAGGAGTGGAAATGCTGAATCATATGGTAATTCTATTTTTAGTGTTTTGAGGAGCCTCCATACTGCTTTCCATAGTGGTTGTACTAATTTACATCCCCACCAGCAGTGTATGAGGGTTCCTTTTCCCCACATCCTCTCCAACATTTGTTATTGTTTGTTTTCTTGATGATAGCCATTCTTACAGGAGTGAGGTGGAATCAATGTGGTTTTGATTAGCATTTCTTTTATGGTCAGGGATGTTGAGCATTTTGATTTACTTTCCCAAATGTTGTCTTTCATGATTCACAAAATATGTTTTTTCAGAAGACAAAATAGATGTCTCTTTTTATTTTTATTTACTTTTATTAGCACATCGAAGATGGTGCATTGTGATATTTCTATACATGCTTATAATATAGTTTGATCATATTCACCTCCTTTTTTCTCTTTCATATCCTTCCTCCCCATGCTTTTTTTTTTTAAGACTGAGTGAGTTACTGAGGATCATACAGCTAGGTCCACATGGCTGATTTATGCTGATACTTTCAGATTTCACAATCAGTATTCTTTTCACTATATGTCTGGACTTGTCTGTCCATGCTGAGTGGTGAAATCAATCTTGAGCTGGGCATGGTGGTACATGCCTGCAATCCCAGAACCTAGGAACTGAGGTAAAAGGATCATGAGTTTAGTTCTGCCTGGGCTATATAATGAGACCCTACCTCACCATCACAGCCCCCCCACAAATAAAATTAATCTTTTAGAAACTTCTAAATCCACTAGTTACTTCCATTTTCTGCAACTCTTCAACATTCATTACCATTAATTATTTGCTTATAAAATACTTGTCTCAAACTCTTCTTCCTTACGAAATATTATTTTCTAATTTTTAAAGACAAGGAATCGTTGGGTTTTTCTCACACAGAAGTAATTATTATAAATGTTTTAAGTGTATTTTCTTCTTCCATGTATATGGATAATATGTATATTATCCATATAATACATATTATCCATACATACATATTATCCATATAATATAATATTAGATCATATTATATTCACAGAATTTTTCTCTGCTTTATGTCTTATCAGAATTCTTACTTTCCTTAAGCAAAAGAAGGATTTATGCTTATTTAAATAACTTGCAAATTTCAAGGTAACAAATTACAGAGGCAGATCTGAATGGTTATATTGCCCCATTATTTTTATCCAATGAATGGGCAAGTTGTGCAGTGCAGAACTTTTAAGTGCACAGGACTGTATGAGTTGGCCCATCCCAGAAATAAGCAGATGTGGTAGAAGCTTATGCTCTTGTAACACATGAATTTTGGTGTACACATTCAACAACAAGACTATATCATCTGGTTGTTGCCATGGTACCTAACTTTTGATTATTATTTTTTTAATTCTCTACTGCCATTTAAAAAATTGTCTGGTTCTATTCTGTTTGCAAATGTCATTTAAAATCTGCAACTGTTCCCTTATAATATTATTTAGTTAAAAATTTTTTGAGTATGTATTTTATGACTAGACTTTAATGTACTAATAAGTATTTCATTTTATTAACTATGGCTTTCAGATTTTACACTTAGATTTGGAAAATTTCAGTCCATATACATAGAACATTTCTTTTTTGTATTCAGTGCTTAAAACAAAATGTGCATTTATAGAAATAGTCTGTGTTTTCTTCCTCTTGCCTTAAATGGAATTTCTAAAGCTGGTCCCTTTGCCTTTTATTTTTGTATTATTTTATTTACTTAAATGTTTATCAAAATCTATTCACATTATGGAAAATATATTTCATTTTCTTAAGTAATATTCATAGAAGTTTTATTTGATAAAATGTATTGGCATGTACATTGTGATATTTCCAAATCAGTACTGATATTGTGTATATATATATATATATATATATATATATATGCTTTTTGCATTTGGACATCAATATTTGATGATGTAATTAGCATCAATGCATTTTATTAATATTTAATGTAATGAATATGAATTTTAGTTTCTGTTTTCATTGGAAAATACTGTTTTTCCCACTTACTAATGATCTTTTTCAATAAATTACAGCAAACATTTGCACTTTGGAGTTTAAAGTATGTCATCATGGCAAAATTTCGGAGAAGGACTTGCATCATTTTGTCACTTTTTGTTCTATTTATTTTCTCTCTGATGATGGGTTTAAAAATGCTGAAGCCAAATACAGCTTCTTTTGGAGCTCCTTTTGGACTTGACCTTCTTCCAGACCTTCATCAACGAAGTATTCATTTGGGGAAAAATTTTGACTCACAAAGGAGTGACAGAATCAACAGTGAATCAAATACCAAGAATTTAAAAACTGTTGAAATCACTATGAAACCTTCTAAAACCTCTGAACTCAACATGGAAGAACTGCCACCTCTCAATTATTTTTTACATGTATTTTATTACAGTTGGTATGGAAATCCACAATTTGATGGTAAATATGTACATTGGAACCATCCAGTCTTGGAGCATTGGGACCCTAGAATAGCCAAGAATTATCCACAAGGGAGACATAACCCTCCAGATGACATTGGCTCTAGCTTTTATCCTGAGTTGGGAAGTTATAGCTCTCGGGATCCTTCTGTCATAGAAAATCACATGAGACAAATGCACTCAGCTTCAATTGGTAATTATTTTATTTATGTATGTGTGCATGTATGTGTATATGTATATAAATAATTTTGGTGGGCCCATTAAATTACTAATTAGTCTTCATATTCTTACTAGTTACCTTGTTAAACCCATACCACCAAATTAAACTGTAAATGTGTTTTTAAAAATCTATTTAACCATCTTTTAGTACTGTCTTTAATGTGTGTTGTTTAATTTCTAAATTTTGGATTTTGGATATATTATTTTTGCTAATTTAAAATTAAATCCTTTAAAAAATTCATTATTTATGACTTACATAAAGTACAGTGATTCTTTCCCCTACTTAAATACTTCCTCCCCATCAAGAAGTAAAATATATCTATAGTCCAAAAAGTTGATTGCCTTATTCACTTTAACCCCTAGCCCACCATAGGGAACTATGAATCTAATTTTTGTGACTTTAAAGAAGTTGTAACTATTCTATTACCTTATGATAACAGAATCAACTATCATTTGTGTATTCTTCTTATTTTGCTTCATACAGTATTTCCAACTATACCTGTGTTGTTAACCGTATGAATAGCTTGGTCATTTTTATTTTTGAGTAGTAAATTTACCTTTGCATTCAAATGTTGATAGTCAGTTGGAATATTTCAAATTTTAGGCGTGCCATATATAAATTAGGTTTTATTTTTCTATCTTTACAACTGCTCTGATAATCTCTTTGCTTATAATTTGTTTTTATTTCATTTATGTTATTGTAATGGTATGTTTTTTAATGGTCCATTTTACTATTTACTTTCCATTTGTCCTACCTGTCTTAAGTTCTTTTTCCTCACCTTTTTCTGCCTTCTCTTACTGAATATGTACATTGCTCCATATTTATTCTCTTCTGGTATACTGCATGTATTCTCTTCTCTTCATTATATCCATTTTGTAGTTTTGCTAAAGTTTGCAGTATACACCTTTAACTTAGTTGATGAAAAATTCTTTGCTGTTTTTACTGTTCTTTCTAATCTCCATCAGCTTTCTCTTTTCCTTCTTTCTGGTACTTCATATACATATATTTAGATAGTTATACGAACCTATCAGTGAATTACATGAACAATTTTATTTGATGCCTGAAAAGTCATCAAAGTTTTAGTACTCCCTTTTATAAGTGTTTCTGTTTCAGTTCTATCTATCTTGTCAATGCTTCTAGCAGTAGGAACAGAAGAAATTAGATGCTCTCACATTTATTGAGCTCTATATAAAGACATACACTCATCATGGAGCTGATATATTTGTAGAGGAATAGAAGACTTTTTTATGAATGAAATATTGTAGAATTTTATTAGTCTACATTAAATATGTGCAATGTGGCTTGATATTTGGACAAACTTTTTTCAATGATTTATGATATCTAACTTTCTAGGACACACATATTGTTCTAGTTCCTACATTTGATACATGTTATGATATAAAATAGGTTTAGTAAAGTTCATTTAGACAACATTCACTTCTATATGGTGAGTAGTACATTATGTGTCTTTATTTACTAATTTACTTTAAATGGAAGAAACTTTTCAAATAATTTTGTCCTGCTTTGTTTAGGAAATATGAATTATTTCTAAACATTGATGTTAATGCAATTATTTTTATTTTAAATTTAACAATTTTTCTATGGATACAAATAATTTTGCTGGATTTTCCACTGGGCAAAATAAACACTTATTTGTAATAAATTAGCAAACGATCTATAAATTGTTTCTTAATCTCCTAATTATTGTATTCATCAGAGAAAAAATAATTTGGCTAAAATATTGATAGAGCACTATTTTGATTCATGGATTTATGCTGACTAAAATTTTTCACTAAGAAAGTAGTAAAGCTATTTAAATTGCTGTATGGTTGAATATGCTTTTGATTTCATGTTTAAAATTTGTGTGTTTTCTTTGATACAAATAGCCTTTTAATTTTAAAGTGAAATGTTGTGTGAAGTAATCATATTACCATATGCATCGTACAAGTTGGGTGATGTTCTGCTTTTATAATTAGAAGTGCTATGCATGTAAATCCTAATGGTCCAATTTTTTCATTGAAAGAATGATAAAATTAATGTGAAGTCTTAATGTTATGTTTTCTGGTCCAATGAATATAATAATGTATTACATTCATATGATAGTATATGAAAGATATATATCCCTTTTAAGTCTTTAATATATATAAAGGATAAACCTAAATACTCTCTCTTGTTTTGACATAAAGGTAAGTCACATTCTCTAGGTTTTGCCTTGTTTTCATCATTGATGCTTTCAATAACACTAGATGAAAATAATATTAGAATATATTGTGAAAGCAGAAAAATAACTGTTTTTATAAGGTCACAATTCTTAATTCTGCATCTCCTACCTCTAAATTTATACATAAAGAGTAGGAGAAACAGAAATTAAAAGAAAACATATTAGATGTTTAAAATTTAAAGGCACCAATTAGCATGTAACATGTCATGAAGTTTTCCTTTAGAATAACTGTGCTTGCATTAAGTTTAAATGTTTAATTGTAGTATGATGGTATTCCATATAGCTTTCATAAATGGCCTGAGTGTAGTTCTACTCATTGTTTTTCTTCATAGAAGTGTGTTTTTTCCCCTACCTTTTCCCATGCCTCATAATTTAACTGAAAGCATATTATCTTGTGTAGGAAGGCAGAGACTGTGGTAAGTAGTTTTTAACCCTGGAAAATGGGCATACTCCGTTGTGGGCATCCAGTTTTTTCCACTTCATTTTATGAGAAGACTATCCTATTTCTGTTGAATTATATCTTACACTTTTCTAAACAAAAAACAAAAACCTCAGATAATTGTATTTGTTTGTATTTATCTCTGGACCCGGTATTCTGATCTGTCAGTCCTGTTTATCTATGCTTTCTCTAATACGACCATGCCTTACTATAGCTTTATACTACATATTGAAATCAGGTAGTAATTGGCCTATCTGTTACCTCAAACATAAAGCATTTCTTTGTGTTAGAAACATTTAAAATCCTCTCTACTAGCTGGGTTTTGAAGTATTCTAATAATTGTCAACCATATACAGGCTACTTTGCTACAGAACATTAGAAGCTGTTCCTGTCCAACTGCATCCTAGTGCAAACTTAACAATCTTTTCTCAGTCCTTCCTACGTTCATATCCTTCCCTGGTTTTGGTAACTACTATTCTGTTTTCTACTTCTTTGACATCAGCTTTTTTAGTTTTCACATATAAGTAAGAACGCGGGATTTTTTTCATAAAGGGATATTGAGTTTTATTGAGTGCTTTTTCTATGTCTGTTGAAATGATCACAGTTTTTATCTTTCATTCTGTTGATACCATGTATTGTGTTTATTTCTTTGCATGTGTTGAAACATTGTGTTCTTGGAATAAATCCAATTTGATCATAGTGTATGACATTTGGTGTACTGTTGGATTCTGTTTACTAATATTTGTTGACAATTTTTGCAGCTAAGCTCATAAGAGTTGTTCTATAGGTTTTTTGTTGTTGTTGTATTATTACTGGGTTTTGTATTAGGATAATGATGGCCTTATACAATGAATTTGGAAGGGTTTTCCTCCTTTCAGTAATTTGCAATAGTTTAAGGACAGTTGCTGTTTGTCCTTTACAAGTTTGGCAAAATTCAGCAGTAAAGCCAACCAAACTTTCCACTTTCAAGTAATTATTAGAGTTCATTATTCCATTTTTATACATATTTATAAAGTACTTCTATCATATTCACCTCCCAATCACTCCTTCTTTCATTCTTGTACTATCCAATGTTTCCTCTACCAAACAGACCCTGTTATACTGTCATTCATTGTTTTAGGTGTACATTCCAGATACAAAGGAGAACATGAGAAATTTGTCTTTGTCAGTGTGGATTATTTTGCTTAACATTATGATCTCCATCTACCCCCATTTTCCTGCAGATGACATGATTACCTTTTTCTTTATGACTGAATAATACTCCAGGATGTATATGTGTGTGTGTGTGTGTGTGTGTGTGTGTGTGTGTGTATCACATTTTCTTTATCTGTTCATTGAATGTTGTGCACCTAGGCTGATTCCATAGTTTGCCTGTTGTGAATAGTGTTGCTATAAGCATGGGTGTGCTGAAATATTTCTTCAGATATATGCCCAGGAATGGTATAGTAAGATCATCAATTAATTCTATTTTTAGTTCTTGAGGAACCTGCATATGGATTTATAAAGTGGCTACACTGTGGAAAATCATGTGATTCAAAGACTGGGGTTCTTGGCACTCAGTTCTTCCTGGCAGCAAACATGCTAGGATGCAGTTCCCAGTAGCATATCTTAGTCCTTTCGTACCACACCCAGTAGTTCACCACCTATTGCCTCTGCCAATTTTACAGGGTATCTTTTGTAGAAAAAAATTTTCTGATGTCAGTGTACCCTGAAAGTGTTGGTTAGATATGTTGCTTTGGTTCCTCGTGCTCACTTGAGTGTAATGTACACATAGCTTTTTACCTGTCATCAGCATTGGTGATTTTTGTGCATAGCTCAGGCTGCAGGGGTTGTGTGATTGCATTGCCAGTCTGCATGCAACTTCCTAAGTAGGGTAGGTTTACTGGCTGCTCTGGGCGTGATTGTGAGGTGAGCATCAGTTTCCAAGGTCATTAGCGGGCAAGATCACCCCTGGTGTGTCCAGGTGCGTATGGCACTGTTTGCCCAATAGTAAGATGAGCTGTCTCAATATCTGTGTCCCTTTTGCATGGGAGCCAAGGTGTACCAATAGGCCAAACAGGATACCTGTTAGTGTCTGATGGCTTCATGGGTGACTTTTTTGAGCCTCCAGTGGCTGACTTTCTCAGAGAGATCTTCCTAAGTTGCTTCCTGGGAGGTGATTGCATAGATAGGGCCCAACGTCTGCATCTTAGGGCCTCATTGGAGAGAGATTCTTAGAAGTGGCTCTTCATCTCTTTCCTAAAGTTACAGCAGGGTGAGTGAGACTACCTAGTTGATTGTCTAGGTAGACCTCTATAAGACAAGTCATTCAGG